CACAAGTTGAGCCCAACATAGAACGAGGCAATTCACTTGGAGTGCTACCAGGAATCTTGGGCACTTTTTTCGCTTCCACACCTAACCAACATGCCATATCACCGACTTTGTTCCGCAGATGGATAGTTTCAGTGCAGTCAACTGCCACTGATGTTGTCCCTGTTGCGAGGATTAGAATTGAAGGCATGCGAGTTGACTGTGGCGGTTGAGTGGATGTAAGACAAATGAATCAGTAGAAGGGGCATCATTCGACGTGCGCTTGAAGAGAGTAGATGAATAGATGGATGGCTGAACAATGAATGGATGAATGGAAGACGAGGTAGTCAAAGATGAATGGACTGAGCATTGACGAATAGATGGGTGGATCATTAGTGCATGGATGTTCGGGTGGGTGGATGGGTAGATGAATCTGCGATGAAGGAGTGAGTGAGCTTGCAATGAGTGAACAAATAGGTGCCCAAAGTGTTAGACGATTTGGCAGTTGGATTCGTGATCGGCGCATGGATGAATGAGAGATGGATTAGAGATGACTGGATGCAGCATAGATGGGTGAAGGGAAGAGGCACAAGCTCCGTCAACATCCACACAACACAACCCTGCAACGGAAATCCACTGACTCCATGTCATATCACTACACCACTCCCTTTGTTGCTGCTGCCAGTTGCAACCTATCGGTGTGTAACACCAACTGGAAGGTGTAGATACGCACTCCATCACGCAACGCCTCCACGTTGATCGAATCATGACAGCAGTTCTGTGAGAGCTTTGTCATAATCCCCTGTACTTCTCGCCACAGTGGCATAAGGTGTCACCCTTTCTATTTGGCACACGTCGTGCTGTGTGCTATCACACACACACCGAGATCCTTTGGGCAATGACGTCGAATGAATGCACACACGTGGGAGGAAGGGTAAGAGGGAGGGAGAGAGGGAGGGAGGTAGGGAGGAAGTAGAGTGGGAGGAGGGTCAGGAAGGATCTGACATGTAGCAACTCAAACGCCTTTTCAGTCAAGGCACAGATCCACAGGCCAAACTCCATTCCAGTGGTTCACTGTCAACTTGACATTGTCAGGTGACGGTGCTTTCAACCATGTGTAACCGTTTCGATGTCGGACCACACCGTACCCCAACCGAGGTGGGATATGCAGGCACCTTGTTCGCCAGACATCACAAGTCAACGGACTCCAGTGTGACAACTTCGTTTGAAGGCTCTGCTTGATTTGAAAGTGAGAAGGTGGTCTGCATTCTTTCCGACGAAAAGTCACATCCACTCCACTGCAATGCAACACTTGAATTCCTCCACTTGTTTCCCATAACCACTCGAATTAATTGGCGTCAACCCATTGGAGGTGACATTAATCACCTTTGAGAGTTGCTACAACCTCACGCATTCAGTGGGTTGGTCTTCACCTGCACCAATTAATACCCTGCCTGGTTTGATTGAGGCTGAGGAAGAGGCACTTATCATCAGAATTTGAAGAGGTGTAATTCATTCTTCCATGCGGCTACTTTGACTTGTAAAAGGGACTGAAGGGAGGGATCGGAAGGCCCTCTCTGTGAAAAAAATATCCTGATTACTGAGTGTGGGTTTATTCAATAAAGTCTTTCATTTTAAGATGCATTTGTTTATTTACCTACTTAAGGTGGCATGTTGAGAGTGGAAACCTCCAGTTGCATCGCTGAAGGGGATTTGACAATTCGTTTCCCCATTTGTGGAGTGCATTCCAAATCCAGACTTTTCACTTGGGAAAATTCAAAATCACTGGTTGCCGATCACCAACACCTTTGTTCACTTCTCTGCCTCCTCATTTGACTGCACAACATTTAAGTTTTCAGGAGAGTTGTGCAGCTGAAGGTGACACAAATGACAACTTGACTAGGGAGAGCTATCAGCCAAGGTAGTTTTTGCCCTTATTCCAAGTATTCGAAAGTCAATCAAAATTGGGGGAATTACACGATTAATTTGAATGCGTTAGCTGAATCCCCGCATCACCTGAATTACTTCACAATCTTGAGTCAAAATGAATTTGCTCTGAAGGCGTCAACTCTGTCTTGACGCTTTATTATGACGTAGTCGAGGTCGCGTCAGGTGGCTACCTTCACGACAGGAACAGTAGTCTCTCTACCATCCCCCATCCACTGCACCTATCGTCAACCTGGACAGTTAAAGAAGGATTCAAAAACTGGTCTTCTTTCTATGCGACATCAAGAAAGCCAAAAGCGCGAGTCAGGCGGTTTACCCTTTAAGCTTCCATCCCACCGGCAGTAATCTCCCCAATCTGGTGCAGACTGAACGCTGTGGAGACAACGGCAAGATCCACTGCCCTCCACTGAGAGGCAATAACTTGCTTTCCATCTCACCTGTGTTTCTACGCTGTCACTTCTGTTTCACATGGATCACTGTCAAGTGCCAACGTTAATGCCACATAAATGGTGATATTCACGATTTTGAAAGACAAGACAAGAATGGGGATGAGGAGGTGTATCCACCCCCTACACCCTGCCCACTCACCTCCAGAGTGCATCTTCTCACAACTAAGTACGGCATTTGCATGAGAGATGCGGTCGTGAGTTCCACAGTCTTCTTTCAATTGGTACACCAACCACGATTCATGACTGTTTCCAGGATGAAGTATTCCCTTCGTCTGTGCAAGTGGCATTCCCTCATGCCGACCAGTATGGGCGATAAGTGCTTGCCCTTCAGGAAGTAAGCACTTCCTGGTGAACAATGTCCACTATACACAAAGTCAGCAGTCCTGTGGGAGCAGAGCATGGGAGGGGTGGCAAGTGGACCATTTGGCCACAACCGATGAGACGTTCGCCCATCCAACAAAGGCTTGAGAGATTGCAATGTTTGTGAAATGCTTGAAGGAAGTGAGGAATACCAACGATTTGGCATATTTTGTGGAAAATTTGGTCGTAGTCCTCAGACCACTTGCATATGCTCCTTCTCCAGTTGCTGTAAACCACCCATTTGTTGACTCCTGACATGAGTGGAACCGCCCTGTGCATCACTGTTGAATTACATTAAGGAAAGTTGAAGAGTCACTCTTCATTGTTAGGAAAAGGAATGGCCTGCTAAACAAACTACCCCATCACTTGGTGATGTATGACCCGCATCCATTTGACGGAGCCTTCTCTGGACGGCGAGCTATTCTGTTAGCCCGTGATACTATGACTGTGACAGCAGGCTTCGATGGCTCCGTAGCTGGCCCAAACTCGGAGGCGTTAGGTAGACAGAAGTTGAAGCACCTTCGTCTAGTATATGTCGACAGAATGAACCCACACTGACGTAAAGGTGACAGATGGTGAGAAGTAGATTGACGCACATCCGCCCATCTATTCTGCATGCAAGCTAACAAGCGAGACGGGCAGGTAGGCCTGTGAGACGAAAGACTAGCACCCCTTCATTGGAGCTGTGTAACTACTTCCACCTTTTTCTTTCTCTTCCAACTTTGCCACTTGGATACTCTTCACTCAGCAATGATGTGTCCGCCTGGAAAGTGCTAATCAACGCATCACCCAAAAGAAAACTTTGAACATTCCTTCTCGAGTGTTAACTCCTTTAGGGTCAAGATGACACACGTCGTGCAGGCCCTCCACTTTGAATGCTTGGCAGAGGCAGGATATTTTCTGTTTTCTCACCTTCTTCATCCTCACACTACCAGCCACATCTACACCGTCAAGGTATAGGCAATCCCTCCTCAGTAGTGAAAAACGTTCTTCCTTCCACTAGCTTGCAAGGCAACGGAGAACACCTACAACCTCTAACTCATCATTTGTAGACTGACTTTTAAAAAAGCCGCCTTCTTATAACCAAAATATCTCAACGCTTTTGCTCAAGCTCCTCATCAAAACAAAGTCAGCTCCAGCCTTGGAAAACCAGTTTTCATTTCTTTATTTGCCCTTCTCTTATCTTCACGAGGCGCCTTTATGGTTGGTTTGTGCAACGAAATGTTTGTCCTTGGAAGTGACAAATGGTAACTGAAACAGCGCCAATGCCAATTTTCTGCCGCCTCAAGAGCCTTCACCTGCCATGCTTAATAAGTTATGAATTCATTAAATTCTGCTAAATATTATGGGAGAAGTAAAAAGAGTACCTGCGCCTATAGCGAATATTCGCAAGCTAATAATTGCTTCTTGAAGGAATAGTAAGTAAGCCGCCTTTTTGGACACCTTTCCTTCAAAAAGGGTGTTATCTTTAACGGCATCAGAATGAAAATAGCTTGAGAGATAAGGCGGTGAATGGAAGACGGTTAAGGGAAGCAGTTCTTTCCCCTGTCCACAATCATAGGTCTCATTCCAATGATGCACTTTGAAAGGGAAGGGGATATTGAGCAGAACACAGAGCTCAGAGGGGGTTGAAATGTCATCGGTTAGACCGTTGACTTCCATTCCTTGGTGTCGGAATTGTGGATCAAATGGAGTACCTAGAATTATTCCACGTTTACTTATCAAAAGTCTCCCATTCTGCACAGAAATGAATGCTTCTTAATCCACTGCATGTTTGTTGCATGCAAAAAAAGCGCCAAACCGATGGAAACCTTAGAGGGAAGTATTTAATTGTAAAATGTATGACTAGGAACCTGTAGAAGGGGACAAGTACGCTTTGTACTCCTCCAGCCCCTTCTTCTCACCCTCTAAGCTCAAATGTCCCCATTTGACCTGAGCAAAATCTAAAGCAAAACGGAAGGCATGATTGATTAATAAGGCAGAAGCCATCATGTGACATGATTACGCACAAGCATATACTACTTCCTCCAACAACAAGTAGTGTGCTCAAGCTACTTCCAAAATTTATTTGTTTACAATTACAGCTCAATATGCGCTAATAAGTAAAATAGGGAATTTTTTCATTAGTTTGGATAAAAGTAAATGAGCAATGAAGGGGAAAATAAAGTGACCACGTATAGACCGCGCCATCGCCTTGCGCATTCCTTCTCCTCATTCACAAGTCAGATGGTGCCTCAATTATTTCTTCCCTTTCTTTCTTTTCTTTTACTCCTAATTTAGTAATTCTGCTTAACATTTTAACACATTTTGGTCACTTAAATGGTTTGCCATGCGAGTGACTGCCTTTCGGTTTACAGGGCTCAGGCGCGCCAGTCCATCACTCGCATATTCTCTCTGGTGGTAATATTACATTGTCGCAAATAAACCGAAAAAAAGTAAAAAATGATCACAATTTTTTGTGCAATTAAATATTGAGGAATTCATCAGGTAGCCCAAATGTATTATTCAATCTTTTGCCTCTTTTTCTCCCATGTTTTCACTATTTTATCTGGAAGGACAAATTAATTACTGAACATTTTCGCAAAATTGGCCCAAAAATAAAATATATAACTTCTTTTGACTTCTTTGAATACAATGTTTTACTTTTTCAGTGATTATTGTCCTTTTTTAAAAACCAATTTCTTACTTCTCAGGCGTAAATGCATGAGGGAGGTAAAGAATGTCCTAAAGTCCACAGATATTAGAGTAGCTGCCGGCTGCATTTCACTTTTGACAGCAGTAGGCTAAAAGATGCAAGAGAAAGGGGATAACATTTTGTCAGAAATGCTCAAAAATATTCCTACTTTACTTAAATGTCGTGGGAAGTTTTGGATTTTTTGCAAACCCACGCAGAACATTAGCTGTGAGACAGCATAGAGGAGCCCTTATGCGCTAAGGTGGTGGTTTGTCAAGCTCCCTACAGAGGAAAAAAGGCAAAAGAATTGTTGTTAATATGTCTATTTAAGCAAACGCTTCTCCACAAACTTGCATTTTTGCCTCTCGAGATGATGACGTCAACTGACCCACCCACCACACCACCTTTCGTATCGGCGACGATGACGTGTCCAAAACCGAAGTGCGCGCAACACGGACGGAGAGGCACCAGGACTAGCGGATGTTTATGTCTGACTTACCTCCTTGTCTTGGTAAAGGGGCATACTTTTATGGTAATAGTTCTCTTGTCTATTTCTACCTTAGAGGCCTCTCTTCCGAACCTCCGTTGGCATAAAACCAGAGCCGCCACTGGACTTCGTGTTATATCATTCATTTCGGTGACCACACAATGCAACAGGGATGTGATTTTGTTGATTTAATGGAACAAGAAACCCAAAGCCAATTGTTAAAATTTTGAATTGATTTCCTGTAGTTAAAGGAGTTTATCATGTTAACAAGTGCCCTGATGAGATGCGTCTCTAGCAATTCCACCCAAGTGGTTCCTTCCTCTGCCACAATGGGCGCCCCGGGGAGAACGAGGTGATCCCATCTACTATTGCGAAGACACGCTAGAATTTTCTTACTTCCCTAACTAGCCGCCGTGTTTAGTCGCCGTTTCCACCTCGCAGATGGGGTGGTTTCCATGCCTCCAACTGCCGCCGGTATCGTTTTTGCTGTGGTGGTTAATGCCGCATACTTGGCAGATGAATGAAGCGAGTGAATGGATGCCGGACACACAGCTGAGTTGGCAAGGCGCTGTTTGACGGATGCTTAGAAGACGTAGACAGGTGGATGAATGAAAGACAAAAAGGTGGGAGACGAGTTAGTCATTGATGGGCAAACTGAGCAATGACGAATAGGTGGGTGGGTCATTAGTGGTTTGATGCATGAATGGATGGATGCATGAATGGATGGATGCATGAATGGATGGATGGATGGAAAGATGGGTCCTGAATAACGCCTTAAACATTAGGCGGATAGGTAGTCGGATCAGAGGGAGAGGGGTAATTGAAAGATAGGTATGTCAAAGATGAATGCACCCACTATGGCCATATGGAAGGATTGGTGTGTAAATCCAGTCAACATCCATACACCACAACACTAAACGGATATCCACTGCCTCCTTCCTTCCTCACCACTTCTCCCTCCTTGCTGATCCCATTTACAACGAATCGGCGTGTAACACCAACTGGAAGGTGTCTGGAGCAGAGCCTGAAATAAGACTAAACCTCCCATTAAGTGACCCACACATGATGTCATGCAGGCACTCACTCCATCACACAAAGCCTACACCTCAATTCACCCATGACGACGATTGTGTGAGATCCACGTCAACATCTTTTGACCTTCCAACCACTTAGGAGTCAGCTTTGACCCTTCAAAGTAAACCACATTAACTTTTAATCTGTCGACTTCACATTAAACTAAACTGAAGGTGGCAGAGGCGTGTCAAACATCATGTCACGTGTTAACCCACACACGCACACACACACACACACCCTTGCTGTAATGACGTAGGAAGAATGCGTAGACGTAGGAGGGAGGATGGGTGGAAAGGCTGTGAAACACAGCAGCATAAACACCCGTCCAGTCAAAGTGCAGACCCAGAGTCCAAACTCCATCACGACGATTTACTGCCATCATGTCATTCTTTGTCAAGCCGCACTGTACTCCGACGCAGGTGGGGGGCATGGACACGCTTAAATCACCCGACAATCAGATAAGTGCATGTGATTTTGACATTTTGTTTAATCGTGTGTTCAGGTGCGTGAGCACTTCAGTCGCTGGTGGATACCACTTCCGCTCTGTTGCATCAGTAACAAGTAGCAAGTTGTGTCACTTGCCATTCACCATTTTCAGGGACATTTCTCTTCAAACAGATTCATTCAGCTAATAATACTCTTGCATTTCTCTTCAGGAAGTTAACATTTACCTTCTCTTCCACCATGCCACCTTATTTCAGACTGCTCAAGTATTGTGTCGCTTCGGTTGTCAGCTGCCTTGTAGTCGAATTACGAGGATGGCGTGATGGTCAGGATGGTGTGCAACACCGATGACTCTCCTCCTTCGGACCACCCGCGCTTACTCAATTCCAATATAGTCTACCCTCTTCCAGCTCCTTGGTTTGCCATCGAGACTATGGGTTCAGGAGCTTGGTTGTCTCCCCTCTGCCGCCAATGCAGAGCCGCTGTTCATTCCTAAGGTAGCAGTAAGGAGTCCCGATTTGGTAAAAGAATGAATTAGCAGCCTCCACAATGGGTGCGCCAGACTGTCACTGTCACGAGGGCAAAGTCTGCGTGAGTAAACTGTTGTTGCTTCAAACCTGAATGTATGATCACCGTAACAGTAGCCTGAATTGTTTAATTTAAGAGAAGGGAGGAAGGCTAACTTCCTGTCAAGTAGACGCATAATGTATACTTCTTTTGTGTCCAAGCCTTAAAACTTGATACAATTTCCAAGACTTTGTGGAAAAACTTGCTGTTGTAATGAGGCTAATCAATCAGGATTTAACTTTTCCCGTACTTGGTTCAGTTTCCTCCAATCACACGCGTCACATATGTGTGACGTGCAAGGCCAGGTTGGAAAATAGATTACCAGCCAAATGTTCTTTGTAATTTGAAGTATGTAGGCACTAGGGATGCCAAATACTGTAAGGTAGTTAGATTGAGAGGCTACTGGTATGGTGCAGAGGCCATGACTCCGACCGGATGTATGAAAGCGGAGCCTTAACTGTCTGCTTAAGCAAAACGCAGGGTTAAGCAAACCATCCAGGACTGGCTGTAAAATAAAAGGTCAAGGAGGAATAAGAGCGAGACAGAAGGCACCCTTAAAATGTCTGTCACTTTTCCACTCTTCACTGTCATTGCTATATAGAGCCACAGTGGAGTGACATTTTTTCCATTCAAGTGACAAGGAAGTGCCACGTCTTCCTTTTTTCTCCAGCCATCACCATGGACTAGTGAAGAGTCGAGTCTTCTTAATTATTTTACAACTTTTCAGACATCTTT